TACATACCTTCAGAACAACCGAATCAAGTGTGTGTATAGATAGATAATGTATGAAGAGTCACAAAAAGATGAAGGGAACCTTTTTTTTATTAAGTAAAAGTCGATTCAAGTCAAGGGACCCCATGACCCGATTGAGGGTTACGTAGAACAGTTTATGAACATTTCAGAATTCTGTGAACAATTTAGAATTCAATGTTTGTGTGTGTGTGTGAGTGCATCACTGATTAGTCGCTGACTCTCTTTTTGTGACGAGCATCAATGTATCTTGCTGTTAGTATGATAGATGCAATCTCTTTTTTCACCTAATCGATTTTGAAATTATGTTTTTTTTGTTTAATTTTATGAAGTTAGGGCAAAGTATTTCACATTTTTGTGTGAAATGTTCCTCTGATGTCCTCATGGTTGGGACGGCTGGTGAGGAAGTGTTGCTCTGTCTCCACTTCTCCCTGCTCACAGTACGGGCAGATCTCGATCTCTCTCTCTCTCTCTCTCTCTCCATCATCTTCATCATCATCATCAGACTAAATGAGGGATCCCACAGACAGATGGATTTTCACTGGTGTGGTTTTGGGAGAAGAAAGGAAAAGCCTTGAATTATCCATTCTTCTCCTCCGCCCATTTATGACCAACCGTTTTGAAAAATCAATCTAGTCAATTAGAGATCAGACAGATCAGTTCCTGCCAACACACGTCTTGGACTGCGCTCCTCGAAGCGGCATGTGTGTGAAATGACCCGGGATGGCATTGTGAACACACCTGGTACAGTCGTGTGTGTGTGTGTGTGACGGGTCCTTCAGGTCTGCGCAGAGATAGGCCACTTTCATCTGAGCTCCAGCGGTTTCATGTTCTCCGTCTCCGTTTGGCTTATTGATCTGGAAGCCAGAGGCGGGAGGTCTCTCTACGTTTGGGCACTTTACTCTCTGTGCTGGAGAGAATCGAGTCCTCTATTGATCAAAGAGACGTGTGTGTGTGTGTTGGCGTGTCAGGATCCAACATACTGCTCTGAGAAGAGAATCCAGCTGAGATAAGAGAGGACGATTGAGGAAGAGTGTATTCGGTATAATTAAAATTCTGTTCAAACTTCACATTAAAGAGTTGAGATTTGAAGAGCTTCACACATGCACACATGGTCAATTAATACAAAAATAGATCTCTACGTTTTATTAACTCTTTCCCCGCCAGCGTTTTTAAAAAAAGTTGCCAGCCACCGCCAGGGTTTTTGACGATTTTCGCTAAATTTGAATGCCCCGCTGAATATTTTCTTCCATGAATATATGAAGATGATATATATAAAAATAAAGATCTGAGCCTCTGCTTTTAGGCAAAAAAAACGTTTTTATTTTATCTTCATTTGTTCTTTTTTTATTGCCTCTTGAACAGAGGTAGGTTTTGTCAAAAACACAACATTTTGGACAAAAAACTGAGAAAAAGGTATTTTTATCAAACAAGTGCATTTAAAAGCAGAATACATTCAGATGTTGTTTCCTTCATATATAAAACTTTCCAAAATAAATTAAAAACATAAAATAAATGTAAAATATATCAAATTTCCCAGGATGTAAGGGAAATGTAACTTTTGCAATTAAACTTCTGCCTCTGCCTCTCTGTGTTCTACCTGTGAATAATGAATAATTGGAATTACAATAAACAGGCCTAGACACACACACACACACACACACACACACACACACACACACACACAAATACATATTACAATGTGGTAAATGTGCACAAAGAGAGAAATAATTTGACAATTACACCTTCATATTTAGACAGCCACACATAAATGGCTGCACACACACATACATATTATAGTGTAATACTATTATACGATCTATCTGCGGCACGTCCATGGCTAGAACTTTCTGTGACAACATGTGCATCTCTCTCACTGACTACTTCGTCCCGATCAGATTCAGAATTATCAAATAAAGAGTGATCGGACTCCGAGTCCATTAACCTCCAGTACTTCAGCCATATACCTCTGCATTGTCTGTCTGATACATTCTCACTACTCCACTGTTTGAGACGATTGCAATCTGTTTCTCTGATCAAAGAGTTGCGCAATCATTCAGGACATGCGCGCGGGTCTTCCTTACCGTATACCACCTAAAACACGGATACCCGGAAAATTCCGTGTTTGGCGCAGATGCGTTTTTTCATTAAACACGGAAAATTCCGTGTTTGGCGGGGAAAGAGTTAAAGGGATACTCCACTTTTTTTTTTTTTTGGAAATAGGCTTATTTTATAACTCCTTCAGGGTTAAACATTTGAGGTTTACCAGTTTTCGAATCCATTCAGCCGGTTTTCTGATATTTAGAGGAATATCAGTAACCAGACAGTTTCTGGTCTCATTGACTTCCATTGTAGGAAAAAAATATATACTATGGAAGTCAATGGGACCAGAAACTGTCTGGTTACTGATATTCTTCAGAAAATCGGCTGAATGGTTTCGAAAACGGTAAAACTCAAATGTTTAACTCTGAGGAAGTTGTAAAATGAGCCTATTTCCAAAAAAAAAAGTGGAGTATCCCTTTAAGAGCAGGAATGGTGCTTGCCCATGCAAACTATATTAAAAAAATGAACCTCAGAAACGCACCCATGTCTTTCAAAACTTAAGCCGATTCATCATCCTGGCCGATATATCAGTGTATCACTAATGTACAGAATAATGATAATAGCACATAAACCGAGACTGTCCCACACACTCTTCTTGAGAACGACCCAGAGTCGTCTGGCTGATGCTGTCGCTGTGATTTATGATTGGAGAAGTGTGTCCGTGTGTGATTGAGACGAAACACTCGCGCTCGTTTGTAAAGCAGGAAGTTGATTTAGTTACACACAGTAAACCTGATGTATCCAGTGTCCAATAAGGACATTCACTCCACTTGAATTGGGTTTAAATGTTAAATCCATTTCATTGAACAGTAAATGTGACATGAAATAATGATTTGAAATCACTGGCATGATACAAGAGATGTGATACCAGCACATCTAAGGTGTAGTTAGGAAATTGGTTGGTCAGTTCAGCTTCAGGATAGATAAAAACACATTTGACCACAGAATGATGCGATTGGCCAATCACAGTCGAGTATTCCAGAGGGCCAATGGTAGCTATCGAATGGCAAAGGCTGTGAAGTGATGAATGTCGGCCAGTGTTTGTAGTGTCACACAAACTCTTTAACACAAGTTTGAGTGCATTTAACATCTTCCGGAATCTTGATTTTAAGAAAATCATATTTCTTCATTTTTATATATGTATGTATATATATATGTATATATATGTGTGTGTGTGTGTGTGTGTATATATATATACTGTATATATATATTTATATATATATACACAGTATATATATATACTGTGTATATACGTATATGTAAATATAAATATATATATATATTGATATATATATATTTATATTTACATATATATACACAGTATATATATATATATATATATATATATATATATATATATATATATATATATATATATATTAGGGCTGTGAAACGATTAATCACGATTAATCACATCTAAAATAAAAGTTTGTGTTTACATAATATATGTGGGTGCACTGTGTATAATTATTATATATATATATAAATACACACACATGCTTGTATATATTTAAGAAATATTTTCATGTATATACTGTAAATAGATTAATATATAATTTATATTATATATAAGTATAAATATTTAATATATAAATAATATTTTTTTCTTAAATATACACGCATGTGTGTGTAGTTATATACAAAATAATTATACACAGTGCACCCACATATATTATGTAAACATACTTTATTTTGGATGTGATTAATTGCGATTAATCGCTTCACAGCCCTAATATATATATATATATATATATATATATATATATAGTATTAAAATATGTATCATAATATTATTACGGTTAATGGTTGATCATTTAAAAATGAATTATAGATGTGTGTAAAGATCAGTAATGCACTGTTAGTACTTTTACAGTTATAACATATTAATAATTTTTTTTCTGAAATACATATATTTTTGGTTTCACAGTGAAATATTTTAATAGTATCTTTATTTAGTATACTAATAATTATTATTATTCTTTTATATTGATGTATAACCACAACATTTTGCTCCTGTACAAGCAATCACAGCAAATCTGGAATTTTTTGAAAGATTTTTGTATCGCAATTTGATTTTTGTTTTTGCCCAAATGGTGCATCTCTAGCACATAGTGTGGGTTGTGTTTATGGTACATTCATGTGCTTTTATTAGAGGAAAATGAGCTCAGAGCTCATCCGTGACTCATTCACCTCTCATTACAGTCCCACTCCTTATCTCTTGCTCTCTCTCTCTCTCTCTCTCTCTCTCTCTCTCTCGCTCTCTCGCTCGCTCTCTCAGCCCACTCATGCGGTGGATTGGGGGGTTGGTTGCTGTAAGGTGGGGTGAGCTCACGGATAAAGCTCTGCTGGGATTGGCTGGTTTGAGCTGTGTAATTCAGTGTGACTGTGTTTGGGTCCTCCCTCTCTCTCTCTTTGAGGCAGCGCTCCAGTGAGGATATCTTCAGTTCGCAGGCAGGACAGGATTAACTCAACAACTCATCTCATCTGCATATAGATGCCCAGGGAGAAGCTCTCTCTCACACACACACACACACACTCTCAGGGCTTCATAGATCTGTTGAAGGGACTCTATTTGGACTAATTGGATGTTCATATTGGAGATTGAATAGATTTTTTCGGCATCAGATGTCCGGCAGAAGATGTAGTAGAGTCTGTTAGAAGACCTCGGAGTTGCGCAGAGTTTATTCGGTCGGGGTGTTTGGTGCGAGATGCCGTCCCGCGAGTCCTACGTGGTCCGTAAGCAGGACAAGTCGCTGGTGCACAAGGCCAAGGCCGAGGGAAAGGAGCAGGGCATGGTGGCGGCGGCTCTGGGGATGAAGATGAGTCCTCAGAAACCTCCCGCCACTCTCTGGCAACCTCTCAAACTGTTTGCTTATTCGCAGCTCACGTCGCTGGTCCGGCGAGCCACGCTGAAGGAGAGCGAGCGCGCGCCCAAGTACGAGAAAGTCCACAACTTCAAGGTAAGGTCCTGCTACAACTCACTGGGTCGTTTTACTAGAAATGATATTGGAATGAAAAAAGGTAACCCTCAAACCGTACTCGCTTTATAGCCCTTAATCCTGTAATTGTGGACATATGTGGGCACAGAGGACTCAGGTGTGATCCTAATTTTTATTTATTATAAATGTTATATCACTGTATTCGATAAAGTTTTGTCTATCCATTTATGGGGTGTTCTTTTATTTTGGGGGTATTTTTGAATTTATTTACTTCAAAAAGTACCATATTTTCTACATAAATTGTTCTTATTTTTATGTTTTATTTTTTCAATTACATTAAAATATCATTCCAATAAGTTCTTAGAGCTAAAACCTAAAGATGAAGTGACTTTGCTGTCACCCGGTGTCTTATTTTGGCTTATTTTAGACTGCTCTAAATTACAGTTTTTCCCATTCATTTCTATGGGTGCCCATTTTTGACCCAAATACAAGATTAAGGATTTTTTTTCACCCACTTAACATTGTAGAATTGAGTCCAAAAAAATAGTGTGTGTTCAGGAGGCAAACTTAGGAAAAGGAGCCAAGTCTTGTACCGCTCAGATCAAGGGAAGAATTTTTAAAAAAATAATTCAAAACTATTTTGCCCACATTTGTCCAGAATACGGTTTTAGGGTTAATGTAAAACGGAATTTAAAGTTTAGTTTTGTTACTTGATTGGGTTTTTTTTTCTTGTTTTATGTATAAAGCTCACTTCTTTGAGTTTGATTTGTGCTTAAAACAATAAAGAACTAAACTATTTGCTAATGGGATGAGAAATGAAAATGTTTTTTGGTATATTACCAATAAATAATAATTGGTAATATTATTATTTGTTGTGTATCAACATTTGTTACGTATTCCATCAAAATGCTCCGCTCTTTTCTGTGATTCATTGAAATATTTTGTAAATGTTAAGTTGTTGTGACATTAGAAAACAACAAAAAAGAATACAAAAAAATGTTGTCCAATTTTTTTTTTTAAGTTTATTTTTGAATTAAATGGGATAAGAAAATAAACTTAGTAATATGTTTGGTAAATAATATTGGTATTATCATTTGTGGTGAATCAACATTATGTTCTGTCATAATTTTTCGAAATAATTGAAAAGTTTTGTACATTTTAAGTTTTTGTGACATTATAAAGGAAAGACACAAAATTTGATAGAATTTGAAGTTAATCTTAATTCTTAATAATTAAAATCTTAATTTTTCTTGTTTCATGCATAAAGCTAGATTAATTAAGTTTAATTTCTGCTTAAAACAAGAACAAAAGCTATTTGCTAATGGTTAAGAAAATAATATTTTTGGTGAATAATGTTGGTAATATTATTATTTGTGGTGTATCTTCATTTTTTAATTAATTAATTAATTTATTTATTTATTTTTGCATTCTGTCAAAATGGTCTCAATTCTGTCTCAATTTGACCATGATTCATTTAAATGTTTTGGCAATCGTGTCATTTTTTAAGCAAATATGTCATAGGATGTTATGCAAATTCTCCCCAAATGTGATTTAAACCCGTCCCGAGGGGTGTGTTGTTGCCGTGGCAGCGGTGCAGGTTTCAGGAGACGTTGGAGGAGTTAACCGTGAATCTGTTTAAGGCCAGAGGTTGGGAAAAACAAATGGAATAAATGCATCTTCTGTTTGTATTGGAGAGGAAGGGAGCGCGAGGGAGGTTGTGTGGGGTGACAGATGGAGAGATTAGGAACTGATAGAGGGATGGTAAACAGCAGTGTTTCCTCGTTCGGCTTGAATCATGAGCAGATCCTGCCGTCCCGTCCCGTCCCGTCCCCCGCCTCGTGTTCTGTAAACCTCACAGACTGCTGACTCCACAAACACCTCTTTCTCTCACGCCTGCTTTTCTCCTGTTTGCCGCATGGTTATCCCCCGTTCGAGACGCTGGTTTCATCAGCAGGACAGTTAATAAGAAGTTATTTTGGTTAGTAACATGGAGATCATTACACACTAAGCATTGCATTACAGTAAATAAACCCATGTACAAGTGTACAGTACAGTCAAATTCAACATTATCAGTTTATTCACTATAGTTTAGAAAATGGTAATAAAATATGACAATATGACTAGACCCTCACACATGAATGATGTTGAATATCTGATGGCTGTTACATTTAAAAAAAGGTACAAAAGCTGTCACTGGGGCTGTACCTTTTCAAAAGGTACACTTTTGTCCATTTTAGGTACTAATTTGTAGGTTTTATGTGCTAATATATACATTTTATGTGCTAATATGTACATTTTTGGTGCTAATATGTACATTTCAGGTACTAATATGTACATTTTAGGTGCTAATAGGTGCTAATATGTACATTTCAGGTACTAATATGTACAGTTTAAGTGTTGATATGTTAATTTTATGTGCTAATATGCACCCTTAAGGTACAAAAGTGTAGCTTTTGAAAAGGTACAGCCCCAGTGACAGCTTTTGTACCTTTTTTTCTGAGATTATAAATACAAACTTACATAATAGCAGTTTAGCATAAACTATCATCAAGCAATGCTTCATGTCAGTCTGTGTGTAAAAAGCTCGCATTAGTAATTACAGAAAACACACTTCAGCAAAACGTGCTCAGCTCAAAGTGAATGAATCATTTTTGGTCCCAAATGTTACTGGTAGACACTGTGTGAATCATTTTTGGGTATAATATGTCAGTTTACTTGATTTTGCTATTTTGCTTTCCTCCCTTACAAAAATGAACTATAGTGTCCTGAACACACTATTAAAAAATATCAGAAATGATATGTTGTCCGAATAATTTTTGGTTTGACTGTATAAGAAATATATGGAAATGTTTTAGGTAAACTGATACCAGCGACGACACTTACAGTTATGAATAAGAAACAAGGCTTTCTTTTGATAATCAAGCTTTTCTTTGTCCTCTTTTCCATAAAGCGCTGAAATCCCCTCAGCTCTGTAAATATGAAATCTGTTAAATTCCTCAGGCCTCTTTTATATGTAAATAGGGCACTTCTCACGTTGATGTCGGTTTGATGTACATGGATTTCATCATCTACTGTAAGACGGCTGTGGTGTTGCTGGTGTGTCCCGTACGACCGCATGATTGGGCGAGCTGTAACCTGGAGAGAGCGAGCGAGAGAGCAGGGCTTTCCTCTCTCTCTCTCTCTCTCTCTCTGATTAATTGAGATTGGATTAATCAGAATGAGCTGTGACCGCTCACGCATGTGTGTGTCCCGCAGGTGCACACCTTCAGAGGGCCACACTGGTGCGAGTACTGCGCCAACTTCATGTGGGGACTCATCGCTCAGGGGGTCAAATGTGCAGGTAAATCAACACAGACACACACCATGCAAACATGACGTTGGAATCGTGCTTTCCACCTATTTCCATAGTTTTTATATACAGTAGTTATGTTATGACGTAGTTATTATTAGAGTTTCATTTTATTATTTTTTATAATATGTATTGAATATTTACATACATTCAAATTCATATATATATGGTGCATATATATTATTTTACACAGGAGAACTTTAAAGTTTCAAACTATCTCATTTGAAGTTGTTTATTTTGTCTGAGAATGGATGAATGTTCTAGATTTAAAATTTTGGTGCTTTTTTATTTTTTATTTATTTATTTATTTATTTATTTTTTACTGTGAACTCAAACAGAACCTCCTGAAGTTTGGCTATTTATCTTTAGAAAGTATTACCTGGATGTTCTAGATTTCCAGATTTTTTTCCTTATCCCTAAGCAAGTTATGGCCATTTCTTACAAAATTATTATTATTATTATTATTATAGGCGCTTTTCAGTGAAAACTGGTGTTTTTTTTATTTACTGACAATGTAGATGTGTCCAAAAAAGTTCAGGAATTAAAGTATGTATAATATGTCATATATAATATATAGTATGTCATCACTGTTCTGTGTTCTCATTGGTTTACGCTCTTTTGTTATGGGTCGTCATCGCTGTCCTGCGTTCTCATTGGTTTACGCTCTTTTGTTATGGGTCGTCACCGCTGTTCTGCGTTCTCATTGGTTTACGCTATTGTTATGGATCGTCATCAATGTTCTGCGTTCTCATTGGTTTACGCTCTATTGTTATGGATCGTCATCGCTGTCCTGTGTTCTCATTGGTTTACGCTCTATTGTTATGGATCGTCATCAATGTTCTGGGTTCTCATTGGTTTACGCTCTATTGTTATGGATCGTCATCGCTGTCCTGTGTTCTCATTGGTTTACGCTCTATTGTTATGGATCGTCATCGCTGTCCTGTGTTCTCATTGGTTTACGCTCTATTGTTATGGATCGTCATCAATGCCCTGCGTTCTCATTGGTTTACGCTCTATTGTTATGGATCGTCATCAATGTCCTGCGTTCACATTGGTTTAGGCTGTTGTTATGGATCGTCATCAATGCCCTGCGTTCTCATTGGTTTACGCTCTATTGTTATGGATCGTCATCACTGTTCTGTGTTCTCATTGGTTTACGCTCTATTGTTATGGATCGTCATCACTGTTCTGCGTTCTCATTGGTTAACGCTCTTTTGTTGTTATGGATCATCGTTGTTCTGTGTTCTCATTGGTTTACGCTCTATTGTTATGGATCATCATCACTGTTCTGTGTTCTCATTGGTTTACGCTCTATTGTTATGGATCGTCATCGCTGTCCTGCGTTCTCATTGGTTTAGGCTGTTGTTATGGATCGTCATCACTGTTCTGTGTTCTCATTGGTTTACGCTCTATTGTTATGGATCGTCATCACTGTTCTGCGTTCTCATTGGTTTACGCTTTATTGTTATGGATCGTCATCGCTGTCCTGCGTTCTCATTGGTTTACGCTCTATTGTTATGGATCGTCATCGCTGTCCTTCGTTCTCATTGGTTTATGCTCTATTGTTATAGATCGTCATCGCTGTCCTTCGTTCTCATTGGTTTAGGCTGTTGTTATGGATCGTCATCACTGTTCTGCGTTCTCATTGGTTTACGCTCTATTGTTATAGATCGTCATCGCTGTCCTTCGTTCTCATTGGTTTAGGCTGTTGTTATGGATCTTCATCGCTGTCCTGTGTTCTCATTGGTTTAGGCTGTTGTTATGGATCGTCATCGCTGTCCTTCGTTTTCATTGGTTTATGCTCTATTGTTATGGGTCATCATCGCTGTCCTTCGTTTTCATTGGTTTATGCTCTATTGTTATGGATCGTCATCGCTGTCCTGCGTTCTCATTGGTTTAGGCTGTTGTTATGGATCGTCATCACTGTTCTGCGTTCTCATTGGTTTATGCTCTATTGTTATAGATCGTCATCGCTGTCCTTCGTTCTCATTGGTTTAGGCTGTTGTTATGGATCTTCATCGCTGTCCTGCGTTCTCATTGGTTTATGCTCTATTGTTATGGGTCGTCATCGCTGTCCTGCGTTCTCATTAGTTTAGGCTGTTGTTATGGATCTTCAACGCTGTTCTGCGTTCTCATTGGTTTACGCTCTATTGTTATGGATCTTCATCGCTGTCCTGCGTTCTCATTGGTTTATGCTCTATTGTTATGGGTCGTCATTGCTGTCCTGCGTTCTCATTAGTTTAGGCTGTTGTTATGGATCTTCAACGCTGTTCTGCGTTCTCATTGGTTTACGCTCTATTGTTATGGATCTTCATCGCTGTCCTGCGTTCTCATTGGTTTAGGCTGTTGTTATGGATCTTCAACGGTGTTCTGCGTTCTCATTGGTTTATGCTCTATTGTTATGGGTCGTCATCGCTGTCCTGCGTTCTCATTGGTTTACACTCTTTTGTTATGGGTCGTCATCGCTGTCCTGTGTTCTCATTGGTTTAGGCTGTTGTTATGGATCTTCATCACTGTCCTTCGTTTTCCTTGGTTTATGCTCTATTGTTATGGGTCATCATCGCTGTCCTGCATTCTCATTGGTTTAGGCTGTTGTTATGGATCGTCATCACTGTTCTGCGTTCTCATTGGTTTACGTTCTTTTGTTATGGGTCGTCATCGCTGTCCTGCGTTCTCATTGGTTTAGGCTGTTGTTATGGATCGTCATCACTGTCCTTCGTTTTCATTGGTTCATGCTCTATTGTTATGGGTCATCATCGCTGTCCTGCATTCTCATTGGTTTAGGCTGTTGTTATGGATCGTCATCACTGTCCTTCGTTCTCATTGGTTTATGCTCTATTGTTATGGTTCGTCATCCCTGTCCTGCGTTCTCATTGGTTTAGGCTGTTGTTATGGATCGTCATCACTGTCCTTCGTTCTCATTGGTTTATGCTCTATTGTTATGGTTCGTCATCCCTGTCCTGCGTTCTCATTGGTTTACGCTGTTGTTATGGGTCATCATCGCTGTCCTGCATTCTCATTGGTTTAGGCTGTTGTTATGGATCGTCATCGCTGTCCTGCGTTCTCATTGGTTTACACTCTTTTGTTATGGATCGTCATCGCTGTCTTGCGTTCCAATTGGTTTACACTCTGTTGTTATGGACACAAATCAAATACAACTTCTTACCAGTTCTGTCAAACAAAGTATTAGATATGACTGACAGATATCGTAAACTAATGACGACGGAGAATTTGAGTGTGTGCTGCAATTCTCAGCGCCACCCGTCAAAATAAAAGTCCCGCTTCCAACATATCGGCCAATCAGAAACACTTATTGACCAATGCCAATATTTTAAAAATACCAAATATCGGCTGATATGTCGGCCTTGGCGATATATCGGTCGACCACTAGTGTGTGTGTGTGTGTAGAGCTCATATAGGTCAGTGCGTTCACTCTGGATGAGGAATATGTGAGTGCTGATTAGCGTGTGGAGTGCACATAGCCTGGCCTACATCTGCGAGAAACAGACTGTTCTAAACACTGGCATCATGATGAAAGCAGACAGATGAAAACTTATTTATAGGTTTCATTCTTTATTATAGCAGACATGATTTTAAAAGAAAATTAATTGTGTTTTTAGTGCAAAAAGGGTATTTTTAAATACACATTAGGAGACACATTATCTCTGTTGAATTCAGTCTTGTTCTTCAAATGAATGTTATTGTGGTTGGTCGGTTGTGTATGTTTTAATGATTTATGTATACGATAATGTGAGTGACACATGTGTTTTCATGAACTGACTTCATGAATAATGCATGCAACTATTTTGAAAGCAGCTTGTGTTCAAAATCCCTTATTCTGAGACCCTTTTTACGCTACTTGTATCCACCTCCTTTTCTCACCCTTTCTCTCTCTCCCTCTCTATCTTTATCTCTCTCGCTCGCTCTCTCTCTTTCTTTCTATCTATCTCTCTCTCTCATATATTCTGTGATGCCACCAGAAACTAGGGCATTGAAATCTCATTTGATGTAGAGATTTGCATTCAGTGTTGCGATCTGACATGCTTTCTTCTTTCTTTTGCTTTTTGTCTGAGAGAGTGAGTCTGGGAGCTGTGTGCTGGGTGTCTGCCAGCCCCAGTGCCCGGGCATGTTGTGCCACATTGCCTCATGAGAGGATAAAGACACACACACACACACACACACACACCCTCGGCCCAGGCCATCATGGCAGAGGCTGAAAACAAAGCTGGCATGTCTTTATAATGAGAAGAGGGGCTGAGAGCTCTTTACACACACACACACACACATTGAAATTCAGGGCTCGTAGCAGCACTGGGTCACACGGTGTGTGAATTTCAGGAGACTGGAACACTTTCACAGAAAGAGAAAACACCTGAATAAAGCCCAAGATATTTGCTTTATAACACCTCTGGGTTACTCTTAATTTAAGTCATGCATGTTCTTACTGCATTATGTTCATAATGCTTTATAATATGCATAAATTAAATGATTGTAACCCCAGTTGCATTTTCACATGATAAAACCTGAAAATGTAATGAGATAAATGCATTAAAATGCATGTGTATATTGTAACTGTGGCTTAAGCAAAGTTATTGACTCTGGTCCATTGAATTATTGGAAATGAATGTGCAGATGATGCAGTTTCTCCTTGGGCGTGCATTCAATTTCTATTCATTTGAGGGAACGAAATCATTTACAGTAGATTATTATGTCTTTTCTCAGACATTGTGAATGCATTATAATGCATTTTGCATGTTATAATTAACTAAAACTTAAAGTCCCCCTGTAGTCAACCATTTTATCTCTTAAAACTCATCTGTGTAATTCACCAAAATTACATATTTAAAAAAAAAAAAATTCCTTAAAAAAGTTGTCTTTGTCTTAAAATAGCTTGAATGTAACTCTACACCCTTCCCTCATTTAGTATATGCGGTTCTATGAATATGCAAATGATCATTTTAAACTAAAACGCATATAGTACTACACTGAACTATACTAAAAATGATAGACGCATTCAAAAAAAAACTTGGAAAAATTTAAAATGACAAGCAAACAACTACATTACTAAAACTAACTCTAAATAAAATGATCGAATTCAAAATATTAACTAAAACTATAATACTGATGCTATGATGCTAAACAATTAGTATAATGTGTTTTATATACTGGCTTTAAATAAACCCCCTTTTTTTCATCTAATAATGCTTACAATCATTTAAAAAATGTCAGTTATAAAAAAAATCTATTATATTTGATCAGTCCCGACAGCTTAAAGGCAGAGGTGTGTTAGTTGTGTACGGTGATGAACACGGCCTCAGCAGACCTCAGCTCACGCACTGAACGCATTAGAGATGTGCCCTCTATTAGCGCCTGTCTCCTCCGCTTATCATAAACCTCGCTCTTCTTTTTCAAAAATAATTACAGTTCTGCATGGCTGAAGTCTCACGACGCCAGAGCCGCTCAAGGGGCCGTTTTTAATCACACGCCGCAGAATCTTTACAATAAGTGTCAACGGATCATTCACTATACACTCTTTAAAATATTGGCATCGCAAATATTCGTCACGCTAAGAAAATAATGGTTCTTTTGAGATTTTTTAATTATTTTTTTTGCATGCAATGATTTAGATTAGACTTCATTATAATTCCAGGAGTCAAAAGAAGAACAAATCTATTGCCACATTGTTTTGAGATAATAAAAAAAAATGAATCCAGACGCCAGCTATAGATTATATTTTGGGGATTATATCATATGATGTTCAGTTTTTACAACCTGACTTGTTTATTTGTTTAAAAAAGACCATATGTTCTTTCAGACAACGACTTGAAATCTTTATCTTCCATTTGTTGTGTACGTTGTTTGGTGTAAGCGTACTCATAATGAAAGACGTCTGAAAAGACTAGTAGTTTAGCATAATATTATGGTTATGGTTTCTTTAAAAAAGCAGTTCAAAAATAAAAAAAATTTAATTAAAATTGTCCACCAATCGCCTTTATTGGAAAAAAGTGCAGTACAAATCAGTCATTAAACCATTTTTTTCAGGAATATATGAAATTAATGTGAATACAAAGATTATATTTCTAAGAACATAACACGTGCATTTTAATATAGGTTTTAGCTTATAATTTAGGGACGCACCGATATGAAAATTTTGGCCAATACAATAACCGATATTCTATATTTTAAAAGCCGATAACCGATATTCTATGTTTTAAAAGCCGATAACTTATATTTTGAAAGCCGATAACCGATATTCTTTATTTTGAAAGCCAATAACCAATATTCTATATTTTAAAAGCCGATAACCGATATTCTATGTTTTAAAAGCCGATAATTTATATTTTGAAAGCCGATAACCGATATTCTACATTTTGAAAGCCAATAACCAATATTCTATATTTTAAAAGCCGATAACCGATATTCTATATTTTAAAAGCCAATAACCAATATTCTTCATTTTAAAAGCCGATAGCCGATATTTTACATTTTGAAAAGCCGATAACCAATATTCTATATTTTGAAAGCCGATAACCGATATTCTATATTTTAAAAGCTGATAACCGATGTTCTATATTTTAAAAGCCGATAGCCGATATTCTATATTTTGAAAGCCGATAACCAATATTCTATATTTTGAAAGCCGATAACCGATATTCTATATTTTAAAAGCTGATAACCGATGTTCTATATTTTAAAAGCCGATAGCCGATATTCTATATTTTGAAAGCGGATAACCGATATTTTGGCTGATAAATGTAAATCCACATTTTAAACTTTTGAAAGTCTGATTAGGAAAACAAAACTCTCACCAGTAAAAGCCATGCCTCAAGCACACTATTATAATGTTTTTATAATAATTGCATATAGACTACATGACAGACTTGTTACTCTGCACTGTATTTTCCTTTTTCAAGTGATTTCTATCATATTTAAAAAAATTCAAAAGTATCACGGCGAACAGTGCACATCTTAAGTGTCTCAACTGAAAGAAATAATCCATTATTTATCAACTTTAATAAATCGACCAAATTTTCTTAACGTGGGGATAACAATAACATTAAAAAGAGCAAATATTGTCCGATACCGATATGGTGGCCGATATATCGGCATCCCTATTCCTTTAAAACATGACTTCAGAATGACAGTCTGGTGGTTTTTAAATTTTAAATCTTAAAGCCAGTCAGAGAGCAGAGCGTTTGGCCCATTTACTGCAGAAATGAGGTCTGGTGTCGCCTACAGGTCTCTGTCTCTGTCTCTCTCTCTCTCTCTCTCTCTCCCTCCTCCAGGTCACGTTGTTTTGAGTGTCTCTCACACTGAACTCATCTGCCCTGAGCTTTCTCTCTCTTTCAGCTGCTTCTTGTCTCTATTTTCCTTGCGTTCTCAGTCTTCCTCTTTATTTCTATCTTCATCCATGTCTCTGTGGGTCTTGCTTTGAAGCAGCTGGCCCATTTAGGAGGCCACATTATATATTAATCAGCTAATTTGCCTACATTTGCATATGGCGTGTGCGCCCTGGAGTCTGTCTGCACTGGTTGCATGGGTGCAGTTGAGGGGGTTGGTTAGTGTTTGCTGTTCAAAAGAACCAAGTCAACGCTGATATGTGATATTTATTATTTTTAATATATAAATATTTTTGTTTTATTGTTAAAATTTCTCAAGTTGATATGTGATTTTTATTATTAATATATATATATATATATATATATATATATATATATATATATTTCTTTTTTTTATTTTATTGTTAAAATTTCCCGGAAAAGTTAATTTCCCGGAAGTTTGTTTGAGAGGCCTGACATAACATTGGCTCAGCCAATAGCATGAGTTGGGGGCGGGACTATCTGTTTGTGGAAGACATCAATAAAAATGTTGTAATTTGGACTCAGTCGTGAAGTGAAGCTCATTTTATAGTGTCCTTGTTACATGTACTTAGCATAGTAATCCTGACCATAGCCTTATAGTAAGTAAATACATGTAGATTATTATAATTATTATTATTACTCGGTATTTTAATATATAATTACACAGTAAGTGTAACCCTTGGTTTAATATTTGTTTCTATATTGTGCTTAAATGAATAATTTTAATTCTGTCAATATTTATTCACCCTCATATTGTCTGGTTAGCAGCATTCATCAAATATCCTTTTACAAAAGAAAGGTTCGGAACAACATGAGGGTGAATAATTTATTATTTTTATTTGTTTTGGCTTGACTATCTCTTCAATTAGCTCTTTATTTCAGGATCCGATGTGAATAACACACACTTCACTCCTCCAGGGTCTCAGAGATGTATTTTTGGGGCGTATGAAGCTGTTAGGTGCCTGAAATTGCTCATGCATATTTTATAAGGCACCATTTGTAGTCCTGGCATGTTCTGTCATCAGCCAAGGTGACACCGCTGAAATCCCCGTCAGCCAATCAGAGCGGCTGACATCACTGATCAGGGGTCGGGAGAGGTCACTGATTAAGCAGAATGAAAGCTCAGCATTCTGCGTAATTTAACTATAGCAAATCAACTTCAGGATCAATAAGATCAGCGTGAAACTGCACACTCCGGACACTTATTCAGTCATTTCAGCACGCCGCATTGATCGCTTCATTTGCTCATTTATTGACCTGGTATTGTTTAGGCAGGAGTAATGGATCAAACGTGTGTGTGTGTTCCTCAGACTGTGGGCTGAACGTCCACAAGCAGTGCTCCAAGATGGTGCCGAACGACTGCAAGCCGGACCTGAAGCACGTGAAGAAGGTGTACAGCTGTGACCTCACCACACTGGTCAAGGCCCACAACACCAAACGGCCCATGGTGGTGGACATGTGCATACGAGAGATCGAGTCCCGAGGTGATCGCATCACACACTTTCATCTAGACTGAACTCCGATCAGGGGAGATAACACTTCTATATATCTAGACACTGTCTTTAACTAGTATGTACTTGCATTAAAGCAATAATTGTTAGGTTCAGTGTATTGCTTGTGTTGATGTTGTATTGTAAAGCACTTGAGCTGATATTGAGGTCAGCACAGGTTTGGTGTGGGCGAGAGTCCTCACACAGGACGCACAGAAAGACTTGAACGAACAATAACACAAACATTTATGCCAAAATGTCAGTTTTTTCGAGTATCCTCACAAGAACAGTCTTAAATGAGTTAAATAAAATCTTAAATGAAAGTAAATAGTAGTGAGAGAACGAGATGTGTGAGATCCTGTCAGCAGCGGCGGATCTTAAAGTGACATGAGGCATTAATTCTGTCTGTCAGTAAAGACAGAGGGAACAGACTGCTCTTGACTAAAGAACGCTTGTAGCTTTGATAAGGATTAATCTATATTTCATTTATAATGTATGCAGTGTGGACTGTTTTATAAACTTATTCAATTTCTGTAAGCTACAGGTAAAAATGACATTTATTATGGGTTTAAGTGAGGATTGTTTTAACCCTCATTTCGGAGTCACACTTCTTATCTTCCCGGTCAGAAGTGACCGGACACCTAAAAATTAAATTTCCTCCATCCCAGTAAAACCAATGCAATTTATTTTTGTTCTATAATATTTATTCTTATTAATTTAGTATTTTGAGACAATTTGTTTGAATTTATTAATATTTATGCAATATTTATGGTCTATTTTTGCCATGGAAAAAAAAAAATATATATATATATATATATATATATATTAATGCAGTATTTTAGTTTTATATAGAGTCTAGGCCTTAAAATATTTTTTGAAGAAAATTAGCACCATCTGGTTACAGTATAGAGAAAAAGCGTAGAATCATGGTATAACCACTAGATGGCATGTTCAGCTCTCTGTGGAGAGGCATGTGAATTCCCCAGATGTTTATGAACACATTTTTTGGGGGGGGGGGTGGATTTGAATATATAGTTGAAACAATCTCTAAAACTATTTCTTATTAAAAGAAAAAAATAATAATAAATAAAAAATTGTGAATTTTTGTTTTTTTGTCAATTTCTCATTCATTTCCTATGGGGGTCATTTTTGACCAAAGATTTTTGACCAAAGTGTGACTATTTTTTTTAAGACCAATTAGCATGCTCAGATCATGACCTCAATTTTTTTTGTGTGTTCACATACATAATGCCATAAAAGTCACCAAGTTTCGTAACACTCTGATGAAGCTGTGATTTTTAAAAATTCAAAACATACTTTTTGTAATGAAAATGTATTGGTGTGTATGTGTATAATAGTGTGTTTGTATGTGTGTGTGTGTTGGTGGGTCTGTCTGTTTTGCACTCTAGATGTTGTAGAGTGTCACCCCTTTCCTGCGGTGTACTTTTTTATAGAATTGTGGCCGATTTGTAGATTGTACATACAAAAATTCAGAGATTTTTTTTATTATTATTTCCCATTCATTTCCTATGGGTCGGTCATTTTTGACCGAAGAGCACTAGTGTGACTATTTTTTTTAAGACCACTTAGCATGCTCAGATCATGACCTCAATTTTTTTGTGTGTTCACATACATAATGCCATAAAAGTCACCAAGTTTCGTAACACTCTGATGAAGCTGTGATTTTTAAAAATTCAAAACATACTTTTTGTAATGAAAATGTATTGGTGTGTATGTGTATAATAGTGTGTTTGTATGTGTGTGTGTGTTGGTGGGTCTGTCTGTTTTGCACTCTAGATGTTGTAGAGTGTCACCCCTTTCCTGCGGTGTACTTTTTTATAGAATTGTGGCCGATTTGTAGATTGTACATACAAAAATTCAGAGATTTTTTTTATTATTATTTCCCATTCATTTCCTATGGGTCGGTCATTTTTGACCGAAGAGCACTAGTGTGACTATTTTTTTTAAGACCACTTAGCATGCTCAGATCATGACCTCAATTTTTTTGTGTGTTCACATACATAATGCCATAAAAGTCACCAAGTTTCGTAACACTCTGATGAAGCTGTGATTTTTAAAAATTCAAAACATACTTTTTGTAATGAAAATGTATTGGTGTGTATGTGTATAATAGTGTGTTTGTATGTGTGTGTGTGTTGGTGGGTCTGTCTGTTTTGCACTCTAGATGTTGTAGAGTGTCACCCCTTTCCTGCGGTGTACTTTTTTATAGAATTGTGGCCGATTTGTAGATTGTACATACAAAAATTCAGAGATTTTTTTTATTATTATTTCCCATTCATTTCCTATGGGTCGGTCATTTTTGACCGAAGAGCACTAGTGTGACTATTTTTTTTAAGACCACTTAGCATGCTCAGATCATGACCTCAATTTTTTTGTGTGTTCACATACATAATGCCATAAAAGTCACCAAGTTTCGTAACACTCTGATGAAGCTGTGATTTTTAAAATGTCAAAACAGAAAATTTTTCGGTCAGAAATGAAAGTTCACTTAAATTAAAAGTTTGTATATTTTTTGAAGCCTAATATTTAAAATTTTGGGGGAAATCATTTTCATTGAGACATCAGTAGCTATAATATTAGTGATACTGGCTTTCATTCATAAAAAGATGGCATTAAGATACAGCTGTAATACTTGAAAATAAATGGTGCCATTGAAGATAAGTCCGTCTGCCTCCCCTGAAAAAAGTTCAGGCTCAGGAGTTTTTTTTGTTTGTTTGTTTTTTTTTCACTTTAACCCCTGCATAATCAATTTATCACGCAATTCTTCTGGCAGGATAATTTTATTTAGCTAAATATCTCATGATCCACTGATGGGTCACATTCACTCATCATTATATCTTTGGTCTAAAACACAACTCTCATGTATTGCCGCAAGACCGCAAAAGCGAGTGAATTTTCTCATCTTTGCGGTCTGTGATATGAACAGTGTGCAAAGTAACATATTTTAGCAATTATTGTGAAAGTGAATGGCACATAACAGGCACAATACAGGTATAACTGTGAATATCTATGGATACAATATGCGTCACATGACTAAACTTACATCATCGTCGACACTGCGAGGCGAAAACAGCGTTTTCAAGTGTTTTAAAAAAAGAAGCGTTGTTTTTGTTGGTATAAATGCCGTCTCGGTCTGGACGCACGGCCAAAACCGAGAGAAAAAGATGCGTTTAATAAACGGAAACGTATTAGTGTGGACGAGGCCTAAAACTAACTATTAAAAGGAAGCGCTACTCATTATTACCTCGGCCATTGTTGCATTTTTATGTGGCATTGTGTGTACTGTAATACACGTCTTAATTGTAATACAACTGTCTTGTCTCTCAGGTTTGAAGTCTGAGGGTCTCTATCGAATCTCTGGATTCAGTGACCTAATCGAAGATGTGAAGTTATCGTTCGACAGAGGTGAGTGTGTGCAGCACTGATCCGTCACGACCCCCACATGCCTACACACACGCATCTGATCCTGATGAATGGCATACACATGCTCACTGCTGCTTTTTGTAGGTCACCCTTTGTCTTGCGTATAGAGCCGTGGGTTTATGTAATGTGGAATGCTCTGAGCTGCTTTATATGTTAAAGTGGCACATTTGTGGGAGGATTTCCGCCCATCTGTTCATATATTTATAAGCATTACTGTTTCATAATGACTCTTAGATGATGCAAGGACAGTGAGAGGGAATCAAGCTAGAGTGGAAAAGACTATCTGGTCCCTAAAGGTTTCTACTGCAGCTTTATTTCTGTATGCAGCTATATTTGCAGAAATGTATAAAAAATGACGAGATCATAAAACAAAATGACTAAAACTTAATCTAAAATGAAAATAAAATACAAAAAAAGTTTCTTCTGCTCACCAATGCTGCATTCACTTCATCAAAAATACAGTAACACTGTGATATTGTGAAAATATTATTACAATTTTCTATTTTAATATATTTTAAAATGTCATTTCTGTAATTTATTCCTCTGATAATGTTTTTTTTTTCACACAAATATTAAGCTGTTTTCAATATTGATACTAACATCATATTAGAGTGATTTATAAAGGATCATGTGACTGGAGTAATGATGCTAAAAATTCAGATTTGATCACAGGAATAAATTACATTTTATCATATATTCAAATAGAAAACATTATCTGTTATTTTAGTGGCATCTTCGCACTAAATTACTGGCAGTATCACAAAGCGCAAGAATCCTCACAGCCTCAGATTAAGAAAATGTTAGCTGAATGTCTCGGTGTTGTCCCAATGTGTTCAGATGGAGAGAAAGCAGACATCTCCGTCAACATCTATGAAGACATCAACATCATCACAGGGGCTCTTAAACTGTACTTCAGGGATCTTCCGATCCCCGTCATCACGTACGACGCGTATCCACGCTTCATCGAGGCCGCCAGTGAGTCGCACGCCAGATCTCTCTATCAGTGAATGTGTCTTTCACACACATCAGAATCTACAACCCTGTTACCATTCTGACTTCTGGTAACACTTTACAATAAGGTTCATTGGTTTAACAAGAACTAAGAATGAACAATACTTAAACATAATCTTAGCAAGTATTAATTTTAACATTTACTAATACGTTATTCAAATCAAAGGTTGTATTTGAAGAGTTCTGATGCAAAAGCCTCTAAATGCCATTTGAAATTTTCTTCTTTAATGATGATTTTTATCAAACTTGTATATTTTAGTTCATTAATTTCACTTAAATAACAATTAATAGGTAATCATCATTGCCATTTAAGTGAAATTACTGAACTTAAATATACAAGCTTGATAAAAATCATCATTAAAGAAGAAAATTTCAAATGGCATTTAGAGGCTTTTGCATCTGAACTCTTCATTTGTTAACATTAGTTTATGAACAAACAATGAACAGCTGTATTTTTATTAACAAAGATTAATAAACGCTGTAACAAATGTATTGCTCATCGTTTAATGAGCCTTATTGTGAAGTGTTACCAATTTTTGTATTTATTTATGCACTTTTCATGTTTATTTGATATCAGGGTTTTAAGCCTTAAAATCGCCCCAAATTTAAGTAACAGGATTTGTACTCCACAAATACAATGAACCGAAAACACATACATCACATTTGATATCGTGTGTTGAGTTTAGTTTAGTTCTGGCGCTTTGTGACGCGTTTGCTTGTGTGTGTCAGAGCTGACGGACCCAGACGAGCGCCTGGAAGCTCTTCATGAAGCGCTGAAGCTGCTGCCTCCTGCTCACTGCGAAACACTGCGCTATCTAATGGCACATCTCAAGAGGTGAGGAGCTGTAGTAGTCCAATCATTCATCTGTACCATATCAGAAACATCGCTCGCGAGGAAATCACGAATAAAGTATTTAAAGGGATACCTCAGGATTTAGCATTATGCTTTGTATTAGTAGAAAACCTGAAGTATTTTCGAATTACCGTGCTTTCCACCCTCATATCCCCCTGAGACGAGAGATTTATGCATTTTTTTGTCTGTTTTTGACACAAAAATCTTCATTTTGCATCATCAGAGGATTGTTTGTCCAGAGGCTAACGCCGCCTTCACACTGGCAGTTGAAATCAGCTCCGTAATACGCAATACGTTCCCAACGGACGTCGTACTACACAGTGAAAAGCGTCGGACGCGGGTAGAACAAAAATGGCGGTTTGATTGTGTCAGTTCTGTATGATCTCTCTGATGAGGGTTATCCTGCGTGAGGAAAGTTGCTGAGGACGTTGACATGTCAGGTCGGCCAAAAAAGGTGATATAGTGGTCAATAGTTCAATGTCTACCTTCAATTTAATTGTATTAACTGCCCTCATAAACGTTAGAAAGTCGTGAAAATAAAAAATGACATGACAACTTATCGTTATAAAATCATTATTTATTTTATTAAAAGTTAATAATTCAGGTTTGTTTATCAGTACCATAGCAACGCTCAACTTCCGCTGGAACTGTCGGATAGGAACCGTCCGTATAGCTTTTCGCACGAGTTCAAATTTTTGAACGCATCCGGATGACCAACGGACACGATTATCTTCGCACCGCACTCGGTCGGACCCGTTTCGGACCCATTCGCATGCGGTCTGCGAATCTCCATGGGAAATGAATGACTTCCGGTCGTTTCGCAGCCGCATCGCTGCTGATTTCAACTGCCAGTGTGAAGGCTGCGTAAAGACTACAGTCAGTAGTAGGGTCTGTCCCGCATGTTCTCAACCCGCCCATAGAGGGCGATCTCACGCACAGAATGAACACATAGTGTCGGCCATCTTTGTTTGGAAGCTAAGCTTGCAGGCTTTTGTTCTGTGGGGAAAGCTGGACAAAATAAGCTCACACAATTTATATGAACGCGACCGAAGACGACGGAAAAACGTACGGAGATCACCAGCTTTAGTTTCTGCTCAAGACCAGCCGAACGCTGAGAGTGTGTGTGTTAGAAATCAGCAATGGTGAGAGAACATTGTGCTTGGTGCGTTTTTCATCTTCAAACCGAAATTGGGTCTTCAAGAGTTTAAACCCCCATCTAGAGCTCTTCCCATAATGTCAAGTCGTCCTCTTGAGATCCGATCGAATAAAACCAGAGATGTTCACAAGTCATTTTTTGGAAGTCCAAGTCAAGTCTCAAGTCTTTTGCCACGAGTCCAAGTCAAGTCTCAAGTCTTAAATTATTAGGCATTGTCTAATTAAATATGTGTGAATTTGCATATATTTAAAAAAAAAAAAACGAAATCAGAGTAGCCTATTAGATAAAGCCAGGTTTAAAATATTTTTTTCATTGTGTTCACATACAGTAATAGATGGGGGGAAAATAGATATTTATGGATATCTACTTTTGTTATCCCGTTATTATATAAATCAAGCTAGGAATAATATATTTACAAATCCATCTGTAATAGTCTTCATAATAAAACTAGGTACAAGACTGGACAGTTTGGTGTATTAGGTTTGGTAAATACGTGCTACTGAAGTGGAGATTTCAGACTTGGAGTTTGGGAGAAAAGTCATTTGAGAAACCGCAAAACGGGATCTAAAGATTTCCATCAGGCCAATGAGATTGCTCAGAGTTAAATCCCCACTTTTACTTTCGTGATTGGTTTCTGATTAAAAGGAAATGACCATATTTGGATCCGACAACATTGAACTGGAGAGAGAGGGAGAGAGCGCTTTCTAACGATGTCTGTGATGACGGTGCAGATCGCGGAGCAGCGGGATGATTTACAATGCCAACTTTTGTTGAAACCCCCGCTGTGGGCGTGGCCTAAATACGCTCTGTCTCATGCACAGTATGACAAAGGGCGGGGGACATGCAGCTTATCATACCCTTCCCCAACGTATGCGCCAATAAAATAGAAATACATTAAAATGAATTTAAATTTAAACAGCAATAATTGCATGAAAGCTTTTGGGTCGAGTCATGAGTCAAGTCTGAAGTCAGCTGTTTGTGTGACTCAAGTGCGACTCGAGTCGTCCCATCTCTGACTAAAACGCATAAGCGGGGTCAAAATGCGTGACCGTTAGAGTATGTGCTTTTTAAGGTTGGGTTGCACTGTGTCATACATTGTGTGTGTGTGTGCAGGGTAACTCAGAACGAGAAGGATAACCTGATGAACGCCGAGAACCTCGGGATCGTGTTCGGGCCGACTTTGATGCGGGCGCCCGATCTGGACGCCATGACGGCTCTGAACGACATCCGCTACCAGAGGCAGGTGGTGGAGGTCCTCATCAAGAACGAAGACATCCTCTTCTAGCATCACTGGCGCTGCGTGAACCCACCACGATCTTTTGTGTGGACTTGAATATGAAGGACTCTTGTACTACAGTATTTTTTTGGAGCAGTTCTTACCCTTCTTCTCCCTGTCCGACGGGTGATGCACCTGTATCTTGCATGTCTTCCTCCCCATTTTTGTCGGGGGTCGCTGAAGCTGGAGGGGGCGGAGCTCAAGACAGTGGGCGTGGCCTACTTCAGCATTATCATGGGATGGTCGTCTCGTCTGCCGCTCGAGTCCGACAGATCGCACTTCTGTTACAAACGGACGTTTTTGTTTTGTTTTTGTAAAACATTGTGAATTTGATATCGTCAGTTTTGGGGACACTTTATCTGAAGAGCCGGTGACGTTGTTCAGGCGTAATAATCTCTTCATTTGATACATAAACTCGTCAGACAATCCTCAGTCATCATTCATATTGCTCTCTCTGCTCGACTACGAGGTTTGTGATTCGCGTATGCTATGAATGTTTCTCTTCCATGAGATATGTATGACTCTGCAGGTAAAGTGTCACCAGTGATTCTTCAAAATCTGTGATTTGTTTTTATTTTTTGGTTGTTGTTTTTTCTTTTTTTTTTAATTCCTTGCGTCAGGTTGATCTGACTCTGTTCTGCCTTCACATGCCGGACCTCTACACGAGAGTCGGACGAATTATTTCTACTGTAGACACACGTTCAGGAAGAATATTTGCATTCCGTGTACATTTCATAATCCTTGATCTAGACTTGCCTTTAGAAATCCTTCTTACACTCTCAACATGACTGGTTGATGTTTTTGGTTCTGTATGTGTTTTTTGTATTTGATTTGAGCATGAATAAGTTAATTTATTAAATTGTACTTTTAGGACTGTGTTCTGAGTCATTTAATTCATAAAAATAAAAAAGCTCCTTTCATATTAGAGATTCACCAAAACTAAATTAAACTTGAAATAACGTCAGTCCTTATTTGTTCAATTATATTTGACAATTGTTTAAAATATGGAACATTCCATAATATTGTGACATCATCATCATCGGACAAGTAAATAATTTCATTTTGCTTCCTAAATCTTTACACAAATTGACTAAATTAAAGATAAACCATTAAATCCTGTTACCCAAATATATATATATGGCATTTAAACGATGCCCAATTGGCACTAAGGGGCCTAAAGTGTGCCAAGAAAACATGCCCACACCATTACACCACCACCACCAGCCTGCACAGTGGTAACAAGGCATGATGGATCCATGTTCTCATTCTGTTTACGCCAAATTCTGACTCTACCATCTGAATGTCTCAACAGAAATCCAGACTCATCAGACCAGGCAACATTTCCAGTCTTCAACTGTCCAATTTTGGTGAGCTCTTGCAAATTGTCGCCTCTTTTTCCTATTAGTAGTGGAGATGAGTGGTACCCGGTGGGGTCTTCTGCTGTTGTAGCCCATCCGCCTCAAGGTTGTGTGTGTTGTGTCTTCACAAATGCTTTGCCGCATACCTCGGTTGTAACGAGTGGTTATTTCAGTCAAAGTTGCTCTTCTATCAGCTTGAATCAGTCGGCCCATTCTCCTCTGACCTCTCGCATCAACAAGGCATTTTTGGCCCACAGGACTGAAGCATACTGGATGTTTTTCCCTTTTTACACCATTCTTTGTAAACCCTAGAAATGGTTGTGTGTGAAAATCCCAGTAACTGAGCCGATTGTGAAATACTCAGTCACCAACAACCATGCCACGCTCAAAATTGCTTAAATCACCTTTCTTTCCCATTCTGACATTCAGTTTGGAGTTCAGGAGATTGTCTTGACCAGGACCACACCCCTAAATGCATTGAAGCAACTGCCATGTGATTGGTTGATTAGATAATTGCATTAATGACAAATTGAACAGGTGATCCTAATAATCCTTTAGGTGAATATTTGAAAACATGATATTTAATTTTATGTCCTAAAACCACCTCCTTTTACACTGACCCCTAGTCTGGACAGTGCTGCATAAAATTGAGAATAATTATAAAGTGCATTGTGTTTTGCACTCACAGCGCATGACCTTGATAAAGCAGGGCTTCTGTGTGTAATATCTCGAGTGACAGCTGACTTGAAGACCCGCAGCCCTCCAGGTCAGTCTCAATCACGCTGATGTGTTTCGAGAGGAACGCAGACCTCAGGGGTCCCGTGGCGGCCCCTCTACTCATTTGCGGGCATGTTTTAATTGCTGTATGTGCATAAAGCTCCAGAGGAGATTTACATAGCACTGAATGTCTTCAGAATCACGTCCTCCTTCATTAGCATCAGCAGGCTGTGTGTTTCTGAGGTTATCGTTCTGTCAGCTCCAGAACCTTCATTTTCCCATCAAATCCCATTCAATTATCTCCCTTTCTTCCCACTGGTAACCATGGAACGGTTGCACTCATAAACCCCATGAAGCGTGATGATGAGCCGGGTTTCAGATTGTCTGACCTTTTGCTGTTTTTTATCCCTCGTTGTGTCATGGTAAACTAAGAGTTGTCATATGTGAATGTAAAAATACAAATTCTTCAGTCAAAAAATATATCGTTCAGAGAGTTGCTTATATTTAATTAAATAGGCCTAATACTTTTATTGAGCAAGGATGCATTTATACTGGAAAAAGTGACTAAAGGCATTATTGCAAAAAAAGAGAAATTCAAATATTTGTTTAACTCTCTATTCATTAAAGAATCCTTAGCCTGCACGGCGTTATTTCCGGTGAAGGTGTAAGGATGCTCGATAACTTCCGCCGATCTTAGTCCAATGCAATACCGAGAATTTATATTGAATTTTATACTCCATGGTTATACTAAAAAGTCACAAAAACAGATAAAACAGACACCCCTCGTTGTGTTTATGCTTCTTTTTAAAATTATATTAAATAAACATATATAAAATTACATCTAAACGTATGTACGTTTCGTTTCAATGACGGGAGGACAGTACATTTTGAAGACTCTACCATAGTCCCGTTTTCCTCGGTTTTCCTCCGCTTTAATCTCCACAACCGGAAATGGACGAGCATCCTTGCGTCAAATGCGAGCTCATTCGAGTTTCCACAAAAATACGAGGCAGCACAATGCTTTCAACGTTAATAATAATAATAATCATAAATGTTTATTGAGCAATAAATCATAATATTAGAATGATTTCTGAAGGATCATGTGAGAAGAAAAAAATGATTTCCTGCCATTTCGGTGTTTATCACAGATCCAAATGTAGGATGTGAGTCCTACAGTCGTGAAATATCCTGTCAGACTGTCTGTCCCCCTTTATAAACATCATTTTCAACCGGTTTGAATAGATTATTTTCACAGTTGTGATTCACACCACTGGCTTTAAATAAAATGGACCAACACAGTGTAATTTATGGCGAAATGAATAATCCATCTCCATTAGTGAAGAGTCAGTCTCCTGAATAAAAAGCAGATTGGCTGCTGCGAAGGTAATGTCATAACGCTTACACACGCGTCACGTGACATCTACAGCACCGTATTCATCACAATTTAAAGGAATACGTATGTATTTGTGTTTTGTGTGGGATCCATGAGGTAAGTAACTTTATCTGTGGGCCGATTGACGTTGATTCACACACTCGCTCGCTGAAATAGGCGAATGCTAACACTGAATATTGAGGTGAGGTGTTCTTGTGACCTCAAATGGTCTGATGTCATTTGACTCTTGGACATACTTGAGTTTAGTTAGTTCAAATATGGCTTGACTGAGTAAAGTCTTGTAATATGTTTCTGTGTGCTTGCTTAATTACACGTTGACATCTTTCTCTAAAATAAAATGTTGTTGCCTGTTTACAATCATTGGTCAGTGTGGCTAGTAGATCATAATGTTTTTTTCAGGAACACTTTACAAAAGGATTTCATTAGTTCACCCAAAAATGAAAATTAAGTCACCCCCATGCAACCCCGTAAGACCTTCGTTCATCTTCGGAACACAAATAAAGATATTTTTGATTGAATCAGAGAGCTCGATCCGTCCCATAGACATATACACTAGACCTCACCTTGGATACGGTGTTACGGATCAAATGGGATCATGTTAACTGGGGACGCGCGCGTGCACGCGCAGACAGTTTTACCTGGATTTACCTCGCATGCGCGAGAACTGAGACGAGGACGTTCTCATTCGTCTACTTCTTGTTACCGGCTGCTCACCGCTTAGGAGTTTTACCGCCCCCTACCGTATAAGATGATGTGCTGATATAGCTGAAAGCGCAAAACTTTCTGTTTATAAGCAGAGGAAGATGCGCGCTGTACATATGCTTTTCAATTTGCGTATTTTCCGCACTATAAGGTGCACTTAAAAGCCTTTAATCTTCTCAAAAAACGACAGTGTTCCTCATAATCCGGAGCGCCTAATATATGGATCATCATTTTATACGGTAGGGGGCGGTAAAACTCCTAAGCGGTGAGCAGCCGGTAACAAGAAGTAGACGAATGAGAACGTCCTCGTCTCAGTTCTTGCGCATGCGCCCATAAGGAAGTAATAGAATAGTCGAATAAAGTCGTTATTTATGTTTTTTTCGCACAAAAAGTATTCTCGTCGCTTGATAAACTTATAATTGAGCCGCTGTAGGCACATGGAATATTCAAACCTTTTCTTTAATGACTTTATGGGCCGTCAAGAGCCAGTTCCTTAGGCAGTCTATAGGACTGATCCAGCTCTCAGATTCAATCAAAAATATCTTTATTTGTGTTCCGAAGATGAACGAAGGTCTTACGGGGTTGCATGGGGGTGAGTAATTAATGACTTAATTTTCATTTTTGGGTGAACTAACCCTTTAACGTTAATTGATGGATTAGCTAACATGGAATTGACAATGAGCAATATGTGTTTATTAATCTTTGTTAATGTTATCTGTAGCTGTTCATGTTAACTCACAGTGCATTGACGTTTTAAAAAATACAACTTTTGATTTTAATAATTTATTAACAAATGTTGAAAATAACTAGCTAAAGTTAATAAATACCGTCGAAGTAAATTATTGTAAAGTATTAAAGTTTTTTTCCCCATTAAATATTATATACATATTTTCCCTTTGAAATTATAATTTAATAATATATTTTAATAATAATAATAATATTGAAAAACAGTTTCCTCTGCTAGAGAAAATCAAGTGGTAAAAACTAAAGACTTATGATGCCACTTCCTCAAATATAATGACAGAAAATTTACTACAACCTTTTTTCAGAAAATAATAAAAAAAAAAAAAAACTACATTGATAGTGTATTAATATCAATAAAAGACACATTAAAGATAAAATAATTTTTATTTGGAGACATGCAGATTAGATCATATTCTGATTAATTTAATAATAATTTTCGTTATTTAATAAATAAATGAAAAAAATATTTAAATAGATAGATTTAAATCAGTAGTGAGCCATGCAGACACAAATGTTTCATAAAAAGCAATGCATTTCTGAGAATTGTCCATCTAAGCCCATATATCCTGTGCACAATTAAATACTTTAGTATTAAATGATTAATGTGTGTGTATATATAATGTTCCCAGTTGTTGACAGGCAGGCTTTCTAATGCATGTCTTTGTTGACAGTGGTCATGAAAAATATCCAATTACACTCGAATTCCCAGAGTAAAGTGTAATCCCGCCTGAGTCAGGACAGGACAGCGCACACACAGGGGTGAGTTCAGGCTCTCCCAGCACGACTAACAGATGTTCAGCACGGGCCCCGTGTTCAGACTGAGCTTTTACAAGGCCGCTAATCAAATGTAAAAAGCACATTAAGAAAAGGGCAGGCTGGGACGCGGGGCTCTGGGCTCTGCGTTTGACTCCTCTGTTCTCGGTCAAGGTCGAACGGCTTTAATATCTGCCCGGGACACG